TGCCTAGCATGTTCCCAACTTCCAGACTCCCAGATAGAAAGCAGGTATTTGGCCTAAACCACATTATCTAGGCATAGTTAGCTACTCTTAACAGGGAATGGTGGGAAACCTTGAGATCCAGTTCCAGGATGCCATTTGAGTGCAAACCTTTAAAGTCAGCCTTTCCAATGATAACAGTCTCAGGCCTAACATGTTAACTCTTCCCTTTTCCTTGGCCTGTGAAGCTAGAAGATGTGACCCCAAGTGGGAGTGGTGGTGAATTTGGAAAAAAGGGACAAACAAGTAGAGAAAAGTGGGGAGTGGGTGGACCAGGCATCTCTGATGGAGATCACCATGGCGCTGAGCCATTCCCAGGTTTTGTTCTTTTTTAGGGTAATGGGGGAGGGAGACGTGGAAGGTAAAGTCAGGTGTTTTCTATTGTTGACTGCAGCTGTGGACCATCTTGGATCTTGCCATTCTAAATAAGCCTCCCCTGACTTCTAACACACAGCTCCCTTTGATTTACATGGCCATGTAGTGCAAAATAAAAGAAAAACAGATCATGTCCTTGTTAGAGCTTTCACCAGCCTTGCAGTTTTAGCACAAGGATCATATTTCCACTTGTCTTTAAAGGTCACTATTGTGTTGCTTGGATCTGGCCACTCCCTACATCTCCCATTTTTTATTTTTCTATTTGAGTTTCTGAAACTGGATAGTTTTTGCATGGAGTTCTTGCTGGATGATTCCGGAGAGTAGTACAAATATAAACAGAAGATTATTGACTCTTTATAAGAAACTCTTTATAAGAAATACCATGAATAGTGTCAAAGCAAGTAGTAAACGTACCGTCTGTTGAAATTGTTTAGAGAGGTCCAGAGACAAAAGAATGAAAGGACTAAACAGAAAAGTTAAAATACCTATAGCAGTAATTGTCTACACGTGTAAATAAATGCCTTGGAAACAGGTGGAAGGATTAAGCTTTTTGAAGTTATTTTAAAGTGTTTGAAGGGTAGAGACTTGAGTCTTCTTTTGGATATAGTAAAGTTGTTGATGCTGAACTTATCCTGGGTTGTTAGGATTGGGAATGTTTACAGTTGAACACACTTTAAATCCCAAGATGTCCTCTCCTCTATCTGCCATGCAAGTATGACTCTCTGGAGGGGGTTTAAAGGGAGAAACCTTCCTCCCATAGTACCGTCTGTTATGTGGGTAGGTTCCAAGTGGGGAACAGTAAGGCACACTGGAGTAATGGGAGGCCAAAGGGCTGTGGCTCCCTTTTCTTCCCCTTGTCTTTGTCTTTAGTTTAGGCTCTTTTTTTTAGGTAACAAGGAGGTATATCCCTCCGGAGTATTTTTTAGTTGAGTTACTAAGCTAATTCCCAGTTCTTTGGGAGGGGAGGATCTTGTTTCAAGAAATCCTTAATTAAATTCCACAAAGAAAAGGCAGAAATTGGAATTTTACCTGGTCCTTCTGCTATATATCACTCCCTAATTTGTTTTCCAAACTTGTCCCAGGTACTCTTGCCTGTTCCGGGAACCAGGGCCATGTTTCCTACACAAAGTCCAGAAATTGATGTAACTGCTTGATACTAACCTTATCACCCCTAGCTTTTAACATATAAGACAATATCTAAAAATACATATCTCTCTCTTAGACAGGTGTCCTTATGTTTTATGCCTGACTCTAAATTGACTCCTTACCTTACTTTATCAATTTCTTGCTTTACTTCCTCAGTTATGGCCAGACGTAGGAGGTCCACTCACATTATTTTTTTGTAGTTTTCCCATACTCAGGTTCCTGTTCAGGCCCCACCTGCCTCAGGCAGGGAGATGTGACTCCCAAGTGGGAGCCATGATGAATTTGAAAACAAAACAAAACAAACAACAAAAAAAAACAGACGAACAAGTAGAGAAAAGTGAGGATTGGGTGAACCAATTATCTCTGATGGAGATTACCTTGGCACTGAGTCATTCCCAGGTTTATTCTTTTATAAGGCAGTGGGGGAGGGAGAAGCAGAAGGTAAACTCAGGTGTTTTCTATTGTCAACTGCAACTGTGGACCATCTTGTGTCTTGTGGTTCTAAATAAGCCTCCTCTGGTCTTCTCTGGCTAACACACAGCTTCCTTTAATTTACACTACCATGCAGTGTAAAATAAAAGAAAAACAGATCATACCCTTATTAGAGCTTTCCCTAGTCTTGTAGCTTCAGCAAAAGGATTGTATTTCTACTTATCTTTAAAGGTCATTTGTGTTACTCAAATGTGGCTGTTCCCTACAGGTTTAGCCATTTCAGAAAGCATGTGGGAAATATTTAAAGGTAAGCATATGTAAGATATAGTGGTTCCATTCCTGTATGTTACAGAGAAATTCTCACAGAAGTCCATGAGGAAACATGTACAATGTTGTTGATTGCATAGCAGTGTTGTGTGTGGCAGGATATTGTAAAGAAGCAACTTAAGAATGTATCATCAGTGAAATAGATAAGAAACATATAAAGTGATGTTTATTGTGGGGTGGTATGTAACAAGAAAGAGTTAACTAGATGTATCTAACTTACAACAACATAAAGCTATCATAAACATAGTGTTGAGTGAGGAAAGTAGAATATAGAACAGTGTTCTCACCTGAAATGCATAGCCCTGGTCTCTATACTACATTCTAATAGCACCTTCCACTTCCTCCAGTTGTGACAACCAAAAATGTCTCCAGATATTATCAAATGTCTTCTAGGGGACATAAAACACTGCAGATCTATTGAAATGATCACATATTTTATCCTGCAACCTGTTAATTTGGTAAATATTTTTCACAGGTTTAATGAACATTGTGTTACTGGGATAAACCCTACATAATCATACTACATTATTGTTTCCTATGTGTTAGTTTGTCTTTTAATTTTTTCATTATTTATTTATTTATTACACATTCAACTACTTTATATCCTTACAGCTTGTAAAATTAATTTTCCCAGCATGAATACACTATTAATCAGTCCAGTTAAAGATATTATCATGCCCATTCTTCTTTTTTTAACTGTAGGGTGTCCACTGAAGAGGGACAGAGAGAAAGAATGAGAAGGAAAGTGAGAAATCACTCCCTAGGGGGGATGTCTATGCCACAATCCCTTTTCTGTCATTCTTCTCTCAGGACTTTGGGCACACATGCACACAAACCCACAAGCCACCAGGTCTAGGACTCAAACTTCAACTGGCTATATGGGAATCCAGTACCTTAGCCACCCCACTACCTACTGGCCCCTAGGATTTTATTTTTCATTAGCTTTATACAAGTATAATTTACACATAAGTTTCACTAATTTTAAGTATATATTTCTATGAGTTTCAATGACATATATAGTTGTTTAACTATAAATAAAATAAAAATATTTATTTATTGTGGTGATAGAACATTTCTATCACACCAAGAAATTTTCTGATTACTCTTTGCAGTTAGGCTCTGCCCTTACAGTGACCCCTGACACTGATCTGTTTTTTATTATCATAATTTTACTAGAATCCAATAGAAAAAGAATCATAAACAGGTAATATTTTACATTGAACTTCTTTTATTAAATATAATGCTTTCGATGTCCATTTAGGTTGTTGCATATGCCAGTAGTTGATTCATTTTTTTTATTGTTTGATAGTATTCCACTGTATGGATATACCACTCATTCACCAATAATGGACATCTGGATTATTTCTTATTTTAGCTGTTAGGAAAAGTTGTTTATAAACATTCTAGTACAATAATTTTTGAGAACACTTACATATTCTTATTTCTGTTTGTTAAACACAAAGGGATAATATTGCTGGATTGTGTGGTAGGTTTTTTCTTAAATTTATAAGATAAAATTACATCAAATTATTGCTGTATTGATTTGCATTCTCACTACTGATGTATGAGTTCCATTTGCTCTATAAAATGATAAAAATTTTATATTATCTGTATTTTTTAATTCTATTATAGTATGTGTTGTGGGATATTTTACTATTTTTAATTTTATTTATTATTATTTATACATTCAATCACTATAAATCATTTAAATTATAAACCAATTTTACCCAACATGATATATGCAACACACCAGGCAAGTTGAGAATGCTACACACAACATCATCAACAGCCAACAAACCATATTTGTGTCCCACAAATGTCTTAGTTCTCCATTTTTTCCAAATTTCCCTTCCTGTACTAGTCCCCTCTCCCAGTCTCCATCCACTTTGTCCCCAATGTCCAAAACAATTTTCATTACTTTTATGTACTACAGTCTTTCAGACTCTACCGTAGAGTGTAGACAGTCAGTATATGCTGAGTGGAGAAGTACAATGTCTCTGTTTCATGGCATGACTTGTTTCACTCAGCAATAAATATTCCATGCTAATACACTTTTTATCAACTACCAGGGTCTTGTTGTTTTTTATGACTGAGTAGAATTCCATGGAGTATATGTGCCACACTTTTCAATCCATTCATGTGTTTGTGGACATTTGGGTTTATTCCGTGTCTTAGCAATTGTGAATAATGCGGCAATATAGTAGTACAAGCATTTTTTCAACTGAGCATTCTCCTGTCCTTTGGGTAGATACTGGAGAGTGGATATACTGGATCAAATGGTAGTTCTATTTGTAGATCTTTGAGGAACCTCTATATTGTTCTACATAGTAACTGGACCAATTTACATTCCCAGCATCAATGTATGAGTGTTTCCCTTTCACCACATCATCAGCAGCCCTTATCCTTTTTTTTTTTTTTTTTAATTTTTGCCTTTTGCCATTTTGACTGAGATTAGGTGGTATCTCATTGTGGTTTTGATTTGCATCTCCCTTATGATAAGGGATGTTAAGCATATTTTCGTATGTTTTTTGACTGTTTGCATGTCTTCCTTAGGGAGTTGTTTATTCAGCTCTTTTTCTTATCTTTTAATTGTGTTAATCATTTCCTTCCAGGTAAGCTGCTTGAGTTCTCTGTGTATTCTGGTTATCAGTCTCTTATCTACTGTATAGTTTACAAAAATTGTGTCCCATTCTGAGAGCTGTTGATTCACACTAATTACTGTGCAGAAACTTCTTAATCTGATGCAATCCCACCTATCTATTTTGGGGATTATTGCCTATGTTTTGGGGGTCTTGCTTAAGAAGTCTCTGCCTAACACAATGTCTCCCAGAGCTTCCCCAGTGTTTTCCACCAGTAATTTTATAGTTTGCGGTCTTAGGTCTTAGGTTTAGATCTTTGATCCACTTTGAGTTGATTTTTGTTAATGGTGACAGACAGGGGTTCTGATTCATCTTTATGCAGGTGGATACACAGTTTTTCTAACACTATTTGTTACAGAGGTTTTCCTTTTCCATCTGGTTGACTGGCACCCTTTGTGA